GGGGGGGACGACGACCGGGAAGAGCTGGAGGATCCGTGTCCTTCACCAAGCGGCGGCTTTACTACTTGCAGGTCGGCGACTATATTCACATGGGAACGAGAGAGAGAAGCATGGTCGTCCCAAGCCGAAGGGGAATAAAAGGCCTGGAGACTTGAGGGACGGGTGTGCGTGTGTATGAGATCCTGCGAGGGCGAGGGTCCACAGCGACCCAGAGAGAAGAGCGATCGTCGACCCTGGGTAATCCTGAGCGCTTGACGGTGGTCCCTCCCTCCCGGGCGTCCCCAACCCCCTCCCCTCTCGCACGAGGAGGGAAAAGCTGGAGGGGCCAAAGGTCTCACCTGTACTAGCACCTTCACGTACATGAGCGGCTGCGAGAGTACCGTGAGGCCGGAGCCCAGCAGCACCTGGGAGGTCGTATCCGCCATGCTGCAGCCGCACCGGGCTCTCCGCCGCGGGGGAGAGCGGCACAGAGAGGGGGGGGAAGCAGCGGAAGAAGGAGCGGTCGTGCCACCACCACGTGACCTGCGGCGGAGGACAAAAAAACTAAAAGGGCTCCTGCCGCCGCTGCTTCTTCGTTCCCTCTTTCCTTCCGTTCCGGGTCCAAAGGGTTCCGGTTTCCGCCACCTGCGGAACAAGTTAGGCCCGAAAAAGAAGAGGAGGAGGAGCAGCCGCCGCCGCCTATGAAATCAGATCTTCCGATTTAAAGAAAAAAGAAAAGTGACAAATTTGCTTGACCCCAAGAGTCCCTGGATGCAATGATAGATCCGCGTTGAAAGGTTGTCTTGAGGAGGGCGATGGCGGTCGGCCGCACGAAGTTGGCGTTTCTTATCGATCTGGCCTCGCCTTTGAGTTGCGCTCGGACGCTTCCCAGCTCGCACTTGAAATGGCAAAAAGGCTCCGTCGGCCAATGAAAAGCGGGGCGGGGTGTTTTTTTTTGGGGGGGGGGGGGGGCGCCTCCGATTGTGTGCCCCTCCCAGTCTGGGGTGTGCTAGGCTGAGGTTTACGGGCCACTTTCAGCCCAAAGAAAAATACCTTGTGACGATTGCCCCACCGTCTCCAGTTTAAGGAAACAAATCGGATTGCTTTCTGTACATCTTGCTGCATGTAAAATAACCATTTGCTACGGTAGTTTGAAAAGTTAAAAAAAACCAACAGAAATGCCTTCTTTTTCTGGCTGTGATCATTCTTGCTTATAGGCCTGTAAATCTGGCATACGGATGAGCAAATCCCTCGTCATTTGATTCAGTTAGATCTGTTTTAAAGTAGATGTGTGCAAGATTACAGTGGGAGTGTCCTAAATTTAATTTAGCAAAACTTGCTGTTCCTGTTCTGTGCGGCTTTCAATAGTATTTTGTTTTCTCAAGGTTACTGTAATAAATGGCTTATTTACAGGCCAGCTGTATACCTGCCCTGTCAAAAAATATTGTTGCTTTAAATCCATGTTACATGTGGGTTGATAGTGTGGAAAGGAAACTTCATGAGGACAGTGGTGTCACCCAAGCAGGAAAAGCCCAAAGGGAACATCAAGCCAGCCATAAAACAAACTTGTATAGGAAAAGAAATCAAATAAAAGGTATTAAAGAAGCCCCTTAGACAAAAGCCCAAATAATTAAGAAAACTAAGGAAACAAGAAAAGAAAACCCTTACAAACACAAGACATGCCAAATCAGCAAAACAAACAGACAAAAGACACAAAATATATTGCAAAGGAGACAGACAGGAGATTGCCACGAAACAAATATAAGAAACCATTAAGCTAAAAAAGATTAGGACGAAACCGATAATCCAATCAAACCACCCCGCAAAGTTTGCCTTCTGCACCCCGCGGAGTTTACCCTCCGGGGGAAATGAAGACAACCCCTGACAGGATTTAAAACATTAAGAAATACAAACACAAGCACACACACACAAAATGAGAAAAAGGTATATAAATCAGGGGCTTATCATACAAAGCTAGCTAGCCCAGGAACGCAGACTTCTTGCTATCTCTCGCCTTCCTGAAAAATAAAAAGATCCAGCTTTCAAGCAGTTGTCTGTATCCTTGCACCGGAGCTCTCTCAGCAGGAAAATCGAATCCTCAGAAGAAAGGCATTTTCCAAGCCTTTCAACAATAGTTTGTCGTGCAGACTTTTCTGCCCTCTCCATATGTTTCTGGCAAATTTCACTATACAACCTAAACTAGTTGGAAAAATCCCTGCCTTTGAATCTGGATTTCTTGTGCAGTTATAGACAAAACTGCAATAAGTATCAGATCCTTTTGCTCAACTTTTAATTTTCTTTTCATTTCTCTATCCTTTCTGCTCTGAAGAGTAATCCATTAAGAAAACCACGTTTTCTTGTTCTTTAATTGCACCATGCCTAATACATAATGAAAAATATGCTTTCTTCAGAACAGTAGCAGTTGCAACTGAAATATTCTCTACATAGCTGAATCCGAAAAACTCTTCCCAACAAGATGACAATAATGAAAATTACTAAGTTATGGTGTGTCAAGTAGATCTTATATGGAATACAAAAGTTTAAAGTATGAAAAAGTCCCAAAGACGTGCAACTGTGCAAAAAAAAATTGATGGTTGACAAATGGTTGGTAAAAAATATATGCTGACACAAAAAATGTAAGAAAATTGAACAATGATTGCTATGCATAGACTTTTACATGGTGATCCTTATTTGCATTCATATTTGATATATGGCTCTTTTCTACATGCACCCTATCAAGGCAGGCCTCAATATGCAGAATGTAGACTGAATTTTTTTCACAAATCTGTAAATGAGGACATTTGTAACTGACAGTGATTTCAAGAACTACATGCCATGTGAGAAGTTTTATTTTACATCTATGAATAGTATCCATTTTAAAATAAATAAGGAAAGTGTTTAATAATACAGTTTCCTGGATTTTATTCATTAATGGGGGTATTCATCACAGATGATAGAGGGAGTATTGAATGAAACACGCACTCCACGATTCAGATACAATACTACAAATGGAAGTGTAATGTTCTAAAATGTGCACCAAAAGAGCAAAGAGAGCTGCTTTTCACTAAGGAAAATGAATGCATATTGACTAGGGTATGGAAGAAAATCTACACTGATTTGTAAAAATAGTTGAATAAACATTCATAAAATAGCAAGATACACTTAAGGGGTGCTCAGTAAATTTTATCAACGTTAAGTTCATGAGAACAAAAACAGTTATGGCATTCTAAGCATTACATTACTACATTCTGCACAAGCTGTGCTGCTTTACAGTCTCATCACTGGAATAAAGTGGTACCACAACATGGAAAAAGTAAGGGACTTTGCTCTGACATCTTCAATTAGTATCAAAGAGGACTGTTTCACTTTGCCAAGCCACTTTGATTCAATAGAAAAATCTGTTTAGCTAAACAGTTCTACAAAAACCAATAGCTGCGTTGCCATGTTTGATTCTGCTTAGCCTATATGAAAGGGATACACATAATTTCTATACTTTATGAATATTTTGTTCATTAATCTATTTCAAGTTCTGTGTTCTTTCTTATTGGTCAAATTTATAATTTTACAGCACTAGACTAGCAACAGTCTAATTATAAAGACAAATAACAAAAATAAGACTTCTTTTTTTAGAACATAAATTGGTGTTTAATTAAGATATGATTAAAAACTTTATTTTTGGAAAAAAATTCTAGAAAATATTTTCAAAAATGGTCATGTTGTCAATAGGAAAAAATACCCAAGGATGCCAAATGTAATCAGATATTTAGGTTCTTTGTGTAAATTAACTTAAATTTGACTCATAAATCTTCCATGTCTTTTAGTTGCTATTATACTGTTTTTCAGTGAAACATAAATGACCATTAGACATGTAAAGTTCCTCAATCTGTAATCTGAACAATACAAAAGCAAAATAATATTTCTGATACATTCATGTATTTTTCAGCACTGTACTTACAATTTGTCATTTAAGTTGTTTAAGTTTTTTTTAAATAACAGAACAAAATCCAGTCTGAACAAGTTTCAAAATCTGTTAACCTTTGTAAGTCACAGACAAATTTCATTAACATTATACCAAATCCATAACCAAATACAAGTTCCGATACATGGCTTCAATATACTTTAACAGAGATTTGTTTCATTTTGCCCAACTTTAAGAACATAAACATTATTTTATGATCTTTGCATCCTCAGCACATTTTTATGTACTATAATGCATACATGTTTTATTTTTTAATTATGAGCTAAGGCAGTAATAAGAGTCCAGATCTGTCAGTGTACTCCTAAAAAGTAGGGGAGTGATACATTCACGCAAAGGATATAAATACAGTAACAGTTTTGCTTGCTTTTTGTGCATTGCAGTAATAAAAAGGTATATCCTTACAACTGCCTATGAACAATAAAATTGAGTTTCTAGAATTTGCAATGTTTCCATCATAAAAAAGAAAACTTTGTGCATGCATTAGTTAGGCATAATATTTTTCCTACTAGAAAAGTGTTGAGTTACATTCTACTGCAGGTGAAGAAGTTTTCCAAAGCAACATTTGCCAAAATAGTATGTGTTCAATGGTGGAGGAGATATTTGTAAGAAGGAAGAACTCTTCCTTTGTTCACTGAATTTGTTCTAAATTCATTCACTGATTTTTCATTAAGCTGATTTTGAATCTCATTAGAGAGCAAATGATTAAAATAATCAAGAGGAGATGAAAAAGGTAAAAACTTCCAATAGGTTCATGAAACTTCCTGCCGACAATTCTCCTCTGTCACACAATCTCCCTCCACACATAGCCCTCTTTATTATCAGCAAAACAAATAGGTGGGAAATGCAGCTTAAGATATTAATGAAGGAGGAAAACCCCTGTCCTTCAGAACACTTTGCAATTTATATGTGGAAAGAAGAGAATTTACTGTCTTCATAGTCAAGGCTCCAAGTTCTCATTCACTAAAGATGTCTTTACACTAAAGTCTTGTGACAAATAATCAGAACAGGAAACTGCCTGCTTTCCCATTGACCAGCTGTTAACTCAGTGTAGCTTATTAAAAAATTCATGGTTTAATGGTTCCTGATACACAAACTTAATGCTTGGACTAGTTTCTCTGCTATCATGTGATGAGTATTTTTGACCGATTACTTTATGTAGTCCCTTGGTATTGGCACAGTATTCATTCTCTGTCCTGAGAAGTATGGGGTCAATTTGGAAAGGCTTCCATATGAATTCTCGATGAGGAAGAACCTGTGATCTGCTTTGACTCAAGTGCCACCTAGGTCTATTGCCTAATACAATCTGAGATTTCAAAGAGAGACTTCGACGTAGCATTGAAGTCACAGAAGGTACTTCAGGGTTCCACCACAAGGACCTAAACAGGAAGTGGGAGGTGTTAAATAAGTTTATGATAATAAAAAACAATTTATAACAATATTTTCAAATAGATGGCTCATAGTTCCACCAATCAAAGTACACTTTACAGTTGTTTCCTGTTTTCCTCTTCAATTGTTTTTTTTTTTTTTTGAAAAAAGGGTAGAACAAACACTGGGTGCATTTCCTTTTTAAGTAGAGTCTCAAAGGGATTCCAGTTTCCTCATAGAAACTATGGTACTGATGGTTGGATTGTTTAATTATTTTCCTTCATAATCCCTTTCTCTATGGTTTGTCCTTAGGGAGAAATATGGTTAATCACTTTACCTTCTGGGGAGAAGGATTTTGATAAAGAAACTAGTGAAACAATGATGGAAAGAAGAAATACATTTCCTATCACAACTACTGGAAAAATATTTTTTAAAAAAACTCAGAAACTCAGAAGCAAAACAGTAACATAGAATGGATGTGAACTTGATGCTTAGGAGTTAAAAATGCATGTAATAATTTTAATGTATTTCTTCGGGCAATAAACAATGTGATGTCTATATAAGCAGACAACAATGTTTGCAGTAAATATTCTGTTCACCTGAATTCTAAGAACTTAAACGTAACTAATTGGTGAAGGATGATGTGTTCTTTCGTAAATAATCTCTCTTTTAAAACATTTACTTAGGGTTGTAGGGTGGCATCTACCATTTAAGCCTAAAATGCAAAACATGTTGCAAATTGTCAAGTGCAATAAACCTGGAACAGTTTAATTCAAAGCACTTCAAGTTTATTACATGTATAGCAAGAAAAATATTGAAAACAATGATAAAACTAGCTTTTGCTGATGTTCCTAAAATCAGTAGTTTTCAGAAAGTCATCATTGAACAAAATGGCTTTTATTAATCATTATGGGGTTTTATTAATAAACATATTTAATTTCCATTTGGTCTTGGCCTAATATGAGAGGCATCACATATTCCTAAATTGCCTATATGGGATAATATTGTGGGATGCCAATTCTGAACTGACTTAACTTGCATTTTCCACCCAAATAGTTGGGAATTGCTTCCTCTGATTTAGGGCTATATATTATACATTAGCCCAATAGATATTCTCTGCATGTCTTCTATCCCTGAGTATCTATATAAAGAGAATATACATATTATCCTCTTAGAATGCAAGAGCTTGTTCACCACAGTTTTCCAAAAGTCTGCAAGCCTGTTGAACACAGCAGCAGCTCTGCAAGGAAGAAGAATTTTATGGCGATGGAGGAGTGTGTTGAGATGGGTGGGTACATGTTGAACGGGCACGTTTGTTTCATGCTTAAGTGTAAATGAGGAAAGGACCAAAGAATCTGATGAAGAGCAATGTGTACATCAATGGCATTCCTATTCAAAGCTAAATACCTAACTTCAAAGACACACATCAAACATGGAGCATTACATCTGGACAATATTCATTTTAAAAAGTGCTTTAACTGTTTGAGGATTAAACTTCAGTGTCTGAGGCAATACCAGTGCCATTTCACTAAACACTCATTATAATCTCCAAGAGTTGGGAAATGGTAATACCTGTACCGTTTGACTCCAGGGCAGGATGATGGAAGAGAGGTACCTATAGAGAAACAAAAATACATTTTGGAAAAACATCTGCAAAATCATAAAATAATAGCAGTAATGCATTTTTTTTCCTAAGACATTTTTTCTCTATGTAGATGACGAGGGTGCAGCATTTATAATAGACCAGGTTTTGCACTTACATAGCCCTTGGTACAGAATTGGTATCTGAGTGGCATTTTAATTATAAACAAATGGTCATGCTTTAGTCCAAGCTTTGTATTTTTTTCATCTATTGAAATCTTTTATTATAATTAGCCACACTTCCAGTAATATTTATTTCTTACACATTCCACAAAATTTGCTAGTGTTTTGGCATATGCAGCTTCTCATACCTGCATCCTGTTTCCCATTAGATTCTCCATTGGAATGCACATAAAATGGAGCAGGAAGCTGTTTGATGGTTGATGTGGTGAAGCTGTTTTTCTGTATTGGTGATAGAGGAATCGTGGATATCAGGAGGGGACTGGGATTCTTGATCCTGAACTCACATTCAGTCAAGGGAACAATCTGTTTTCCTTTAGGAATCTCTATATAGCAGATATTTTGTAGAAAGAACATATCAAATGAAAGGAACTCAACATTCTCTAAAATACACTTTTCTGGAATCAGAAAAACTCTTACCTATTCACTTTAGTATGTTCCAAATGAAATAATTTGCACAGATATTTAGCGGCTCAACAAAATACAGCAAAGTCTTTTTGTGAGATTTGAACAATGTTACCCAGTTAGCAGTCTTGAAAGGATGATATTTTTGTTTTTTTGCTCTGACTTGTCACAGGAAAAAAGTGGTGTTGAATAAAGTAGATATTTAGTACTAACCACATCAAACATTATCCCAAGGTTTAGAAGAAATATTTTATGTCTACAATTGTTTTCAAACACAAAAACTATAATTTCTAAACTCAAATCTATAAATCATACCATGGTATTCTCACTGGATTATTATGAGTGAGGTTTGAGGTCGTATTTTTCCAAAGATTTTTATAGAATCTCTATTTTGAACCAATGGAAAAGAGGATTTGTACTACTGTCAGCATGTTAAACCATGAGCTGTGGTGACCCACTAGTTAGAATGAAGTATTGCAGGCTAATTCTGCTGATTGCCGACTGCCAGCAGTTCGGCAGTTCGATTCTTACCAGATCAAGTTTGACTCAGTTGACTCAGCCTTCCACCCTTCTGAAGTCACTAAAATGAGGATTCAGACTGTTGGGGGCAATATGCTGACTCTGTAAACCACTTAGAGAGGGCTACAAAGCTCTGTGAAGTGGTATATAAGTCTAAGTACTATTGCCATTGCTATTGAATGCTCTCAAACAATAATAGTCACTTCATCTTGAAATGTGTAGAGGCAATTTTAAAATTAATATATTATGTGAAAGGTTGGAAAGGAAATCAACTACCAGGCTGGATGACAGTTGCAATGTGATATAACCAAATTTATTGCTTATTTGCATGAAATTAAGAGATACAAGTATAAATTAATTAAGATAAAGATGCTGGAACAGGGAATTTTGATAAGGTAGTAGTCATAATTTCACATAAACAAGATGAATTTTTCCATAATACATGTAGAGAGTTAATAGCTGGGATAGTGCATTCCCAGCATACCTAACAGTATATGTAGATAAATATCTTACCTTGACACTTTTGACAGTTATTTGAGTTTTCTCCCTGAAAAAAGAAAGAGAGTGAATTACACAGATGGTCCTGTATCAGACAAATGTATGTCTTAAATCTCTGCTTGCCTTATGTTACAAATATATTTGCTGATAATGATTAATGATTAATGATCATTACTTGCCTTTCTTGCAGTTCTTTATACTATAGAAATTATGGCAAGTTTGAAATAACATTTGCAATTTTAAAATTGGACATACAATTTTGGACATCTGTATTCAAAGATACAAAAATATTTATATGCCTTACATATATTCAAATTAATTAGTTTTAAATTCTAATGGAAAACGTTTCTAGCTGACTACCTCTGTCCAATAAAGCTACATTTGATCCAATTTTATTTGCTTCTTACCAGAACTTTTTCCTTGTGCTTTAATGGATGGTTCACAGCAAATTTCTGATGCAAATCATTTCTTTCTTTCCTGGTTCGCAGAAGTTTCTTCTTCTTCTTTTTCTTCTTCTCATTACAGTCCTCCAAAAAGAAATACTCCAATAATTAAATATACCAATGATCAAATTGTGATACGTTAACCTATGCCAAATCAGCTAAATCTTTACAAAAATGGTGAATAAATTTTTGAATGCATCCAAGTGGTTAAAATATGTTTTGGGATGGAATAAGAAAAACACAATTTTTAAGGTTTTAGCCATGTTAGCTCCAGACTGGAATATGGGAATATTCTAAAGACATACAAATTGGTTCCTATGGTATTAGCTTTTCCAAATATTGCTGCAATAAAGAAATAGGCAATTAATTATTGGTCCCCTTATTCTGAAATATAAAATTATCAAAATGTTATTAGCCATTGTTCAAATCAAGCTATATTTTTACTAGCTTTAAATATTCTTAAATATTATAGCTATTTATAGATTGCAATTGTTCCCTGGCAATGAGGCCATAATCATAAAGTAAACCCTGCTGAATATTAGAATATTTCTGATTTAACATGCATCAGGGTACAGAGTTATTGTTCCATTATTATTATTAATTATTATTATTATTACTGTATTATTATTATTATTTAAAGCTGCAATTTCTCATTTATAAATAGAATTCTTGGACTTCTACAGTGGTTTATCCTGGCTGAGTTATAGATCAATCATACTGCCTACTTAGGTTTTGAACAAGCTATTTACCATCAATTTTAAAATTATTTACTGAATTTATATCCTGTCTCTGATAGTAGTAGCTTATATGAGATCTGTCCTAATTTTTCTCCTTATACCAGTTGTTTGAGATACTTCTGGCTAAGAGAAAATAACTGGTCCTAAATGGCCCAGGATATTCTATAGTCAAAACAACTTGAATCTCAGTCTACCTCATTCAAATCCAGCACTTTAGTTGTTAAGTTTGAGCAATGAGAGGCTGAACCAGAGCATGAGTGCAACAGTACTTTATTTTACAAATAAAGGGCTGACCGTGCTTGCCAAGCCTGGAACTGGCTCGCAGCAATCAGCAGCCAGTTGGACCCCGCAGCCTGCTTTTATAGCTGGCTGCTGGGGAGAACCAACCAATGGGAATGGGGGAATAACGCCCACACAAAGTGAGTGGACCTGAGTGAGAACTCCTTGAGTCCTCAGGACATAACATTAGTCATTATATTATATTGGCTCATTTGTTTCACTTCTTCATTGTGAACCATTTAGTAATGCTATTATTTTCACAACATTTAACCACAAGAACTTTTTGCTTTGAAAATGCATGCAATATTCTCACAAAGTAGATAGAGTTAGAAAAAAAAGCACATTTGTTTATCATTTTCATTTCCAGCATAAACACAACCAACTATAGAATGCAGCTTCAGAAAAAAAAATACAGACTGCTGTTTCTTTCTTTCAAGTCAGGCAATCAAATGTATTGATCTAAATGTTTTTCTAATAGAGTTCAATTAACTCAGTTTTATTTTCATTGATGCTGCTGGGTTGAGCTGCAACTTTTCTAAGAACCTCAAGCAGAAAATGCAACCTATATTGCTCTAAGTACTTATTAAATATTACAAAATTCATAAATTTGTGAAAGTTGCATATCCAGTGAATGGTGATAATGGAACAGCCAGGAGTAGGGTTTTTTTTAAAAAAGTATACAACAGTATAAATAAATGCAATCCATTGGAAAACATTCTGTTGAAAAGTGAGAAAAAGTTATTTGGAAACCAAGAAAGGATGAGAATAGTAATTGTTTTATGAGTATCTGCTTAGTAAAAGGTCAATATATTTTGAATATGTGCTTAATCATAACTATATTCATGCACACATATGGCAAAGAAAATAATCTCAAAGCATGATTTATTTTATTGAGATAAGACAATAAAATCAGTGAAGAATAGAAAAATAATTAAAGGTTCTGAATGTGGATAGACCAGTTTTTAGTAAGGTCAGGACAGGACCTTGGGAAAAAATGAAGTGAAGGAAAAATAATGTTACTGAAAGAAACTACAGTGAAAATAGAACACCACACGAAGAGGAAGAATATATGAAAAAGTATTAAGAACAGACACCATCAACCACCACTCCCCATGGAAAATAAGTGGAACTAAAAAAATGTGACAAATGCTTGGAACTACACTTGTTGTCTTTTTGTTTGTATATAATAACAATAATAACATTCTAAATATTAGGTACAGGTGCTGTCTTAACAAAGACATTAAGTATCATCCCATAAACAAACCACATCCATATTTTAGCTTGGTGTTCTAAATGTTATATAAATTGTACGATGCAGTAAGTTAAAAACTAAGGTATCAGAGGTGAAGTTAGTGTTTCACAGAGGAAGCAGAGTGAACAATCACACAGAATCATACGGCTGGGAAGGGTCTTGAGAGATTTTCTAGTTCAACACATTGCCCCCAAGGCAGGAGTCTTTATACTATCCCAGAAAAATGATTGTTCAATCTTTTCTTGAAAACCTCCAGCGATGGAGCACCCACAGCTCCAGGAGGCAAGCTATTCCATTGATTAATCATTCTCAATGCCAGAAAATTCCTCCTAGTTCCAGGCTGGATCTTTCTTTTATGAGCTTCTATCCATTGCTTCTTGTCCTTCCTTTGGGTGCTATGGAGAATAAACTGAGTCCCTGCTCCCTCCGATAGCCCTTCTAGTATTGGAAGATTGCTATCATGTCTCCCCAAGCCTTCTTTTCATCAGGCTAAACTTATCTATTTCTCTTAGCCAATGATCATATGATTTAGCTTCCAAACCCCTTAAACATCTTTGTTGCTCTGCTCTACACTCTACACCAGTGGTGGCTAACCTTTTTGGGCTCCTGTGCCAAAAATTGTGTGTGCACACCTCCTACGCATGCATGCATAATCCCCACCCACCCCTGTCACACCCTTGCCTGCACTGCACCTCACAACTAATTTTCGGCGGGTTTGAAGCCTTTTTTGGCCTCCCAAAGGCTTGAGGAAGGCCTTTTTTTTTTTTCAGAAAAACAGGAAATGACAAAACTGGGCTAGTTTTTGGCCTGCAAAGCCTGCAGAAGCCTTCCTCAAGTCTTTGAGAGGCTGAAAAAGGCCTCAAACTGGCCAAAAATCAGCTGTGAGGCACGCGCATGCCCAGTGAGATAAGTTTGCGTGCAGCTCATGTGCCGGCACAAATACACTCACCATCACGACTCCACACTCTTTCTAGATCCTCAACATCTGTTTTGTATCATGGTTACCTGAACTGGATGCATTGTCTACTTCTCCAGAGGCAGGTCCAAAACTACAATGATGTACATTCAGGTTTGACAAGAGGATGTTAGGAGCTATCATCCAAAGGAAGTGGTTGACACATGAACTGTTAAGTTCTCCTTCATTGGAGATCTTCACACAGATTTAGATGACTGTCTGTCAGAGATACTCTATGACAGCTTGCAACCATCAGAAAATATAGGATCAAAAATAAATTCTACTTTATATTTCTGCTGTGGATCATTCCATCTCATCATGAATCAAACTACTGAATTCCAGGAACAAATTGGCTGAAAATTTAAGCAATGCCAAGAATGCAACCAAGTTTCCAAAGAGACCACATGACTGATGGATTCATCATGTTTGGGTCAAAATCTTCCTAGATCAATTCATCCTCAAACTGTGCAACAGAATTTGAATCTGTATCTGATCATACAGAAATAATAAAATATCCAACTATGGGATGTGTGGTGCTTAGAATGAAGGCTATCACATACTATCCATTGTTTTGAGTGGAAAATCATGATCCCAGGCTTAGTGAGTTAAAAAAAGGCAAAAACTAAAGCTGATTCCATTTGGTTTAACATTACATTAAAATAAAAAAGAATGAATAAACTTATTTTTCAATAGCTTATTTAATCACACTTTTTCCTGCTCCACTGAAAACATCAACATTTGGAGATTCCTGAGATGACCACCAAGCTTCTGAGCGATCCAAATTGTCCATCTTGGTCTAAAAAAGCCAGGTCCTCATTTCCCCACCATTAAAGGAGAAACTCATTTTGGATAACTCGTTTGTTCTGGATTAATCAATCAAAATCCTTATGGTGGATCCATTCACCTCCAACTTTTTGGCTATCATGGTTATTACACATGGCTAAAGATGCTGAGAAGACAACATTTTCAAAATCCTCTATGCAAAGGTAATAGAAGAACTGCAGCTCCAAACAAAGATGACCAAGGAAGCTGCAGGAAATTCTGTTTTAGGGCATCTTGTCCAATGCTTTGCCAATCTTAAAGGCTCTCTGTTCCACAACACAACCAAGAGCTACTCATTGCTGGCTCTAAATAGAAAATGGCTAACTCAATTTTCCTATTGAAACCAGTGGCACAATTACATTTGCAAGGCTCAGAAGGTTGTTGAGTGTTCAGCCGGCGGACCATTTGGAAACAGTTATCTATTTAATCAACACAACCCGTGTTTCCTGCCTGCCCCATCACCTGCTCCTCCCCAGAAAAATGAGACAGCAATGCTGAAATCAGTAGAGGGGGGAAAAATCAGAAACATAAATCAAATGGATGCTAGCTAATCAGTGCTTCATGGTGCAAAGTGCAGGGTGAATTGGCAATTTTACATAAAGCGACATATTTTATACTTTTTCCATTTGGAATTATTCACTGAAAATGCATAGCTCTTACCTTTTCTACCATCTTGAGCAAATGTGCAGGAGGGCCATCTGATTGGGAACTGTCAGACCCACTCGTGCTAATTAAGAGAAAAGAGAAAAACTATTCCTGTGATGAACAATACCAAACATTGTCATTGTATTTCTTCTAGCAGCCTAATTTTGCAAAGTTTAAATATTAGTCATAAAATTTTAGGCTATGTCTAAAACTTGAAACTATTCAACCTTTCTTCACCACCAAATCACCTGTAAGGTGTAAGCCCTTAAAACTAATTATGTGGTGAATATCCTTTCCCTTGAATTGCTTCTCATGTTTTTGTGGTACGGAAGTTATTTCTGATTCAAGTTGCATTAGCTGTCTGGTAATGGAATTGGAAAGACTGCATAGATGTTTCTTAGGTATCCTAGAGAGTAATGACTAATTTTTTAAAAAAATTACAGTACTATGTCTATTCATGTGGCTCCAATGCCCATTAGTGTATTCCATCAGCGTAGCATAACATTAATAGTTCCTATGAAACTAAAAGTGCTAATGAAATGACTGTACAGTATGTGATACAGCAGCATCTCTGAAATCAAGGTGTTAAATAAGACAATGCACTGATATTCTCAGGTAGCTGGATATATGGACAAGATACAGTCTACAAAAGTATGAGAAACCAGATAAGAAAAAGAGCCTTCAGAGATGTAGCTTTTGTTTTAAGCTTCTCTCTCCTGAATAAAAGAGCTAAAAATATTAGCAGTATGGTATCTCCTGGCTTGATTATTCTATAGTCTTGGAGGACAGAAAAATCCACAAGGCTTTTCTAAAATCCCTTACCACCAAAAGACTGGCAGACTTGGATTACCTGGATTCAACATCAGATAGAGAGATGTCACTCCAAGTGGTTTCCATGTTTTTACCCAACTCTGAGAGCTTAATCTGGATTTTTTGTTTCAGTAATTCCTTAAGCTCTAGCAAGCATTGCTGAAACTAAGAGAACAACAGAGAATTTTTAGACCAAATGGAAAATATTGTTTGGTTATATACTTTAAAATGCTCCAACTATTCTAACCATTTCAGTGAGGAGTAACATAAATATTAACAAGCAAAATATAAAAAAATTGACAAATGTACAATATATCAATCTTTAGATACACTTAAAAGATAAAAAAATAAATCCAAACTGCATCAACAAAAAAATCTCTTCAACCAGCATGTGCACGCATGTGCACACATGTGCACACACATGAGCACACATGCACATGCGTGCACACACACACACAAAGACAGCTGAACTTTCTTCGGGATATACCAGACTCAGTATGAAATTTTAAAAAAATTATATAGCCTTTCCTTTGATTATCAAATTTCCTACGTGAACTAATTTGCATTTCATAATGTGTTCATAACCTGAAGAGCAACTGTAGTCAGACAAATTTCTAGTTAATAAAATTCATATGTATACTGAACAATTAATATCTGCTGCTTGGTTGAAGTTTTGTTTATTATTTCTTATACATTTCAGACTCATAAAGAAAAGGGATATACAGTAGAGAAGCGGGCTACATACATGTTTTCTATTGGTATTTGGACATTTTGGATTTGAACTGCATGGACTATGGCTATTTCCAGGTTACATATTTTCAAAATGTGAGAAATAATAATAGCAATATTAAAGCATGCCTAAAAAATATGGGAGCCGTAGTGACACAATGGCTAGAACACAGTATTGAGGCTGATTCTGACTCTGCCCACTGCCAGGAGTTCAATCCTGACCAGCTCAGGAGATTGTTGGGAGCAATCTGCTGATATTTGTAAACCATTCAGAGAGTGATATAAAATAGTATATATCGGTAAGTCTAAGTGCTATTGCTATTTAAAGACACTGAGCAATACTACAATATCTTCTAGTTTTGTTAAGCTACAACAGGAAACTCTCACCTTGGAGCGGTCTGGATCACAAAAGTCCAATAAAGTATCACAGACATGATAACCTAGAGATTTGAGATCCTCAAAAGTAAAATGACAGTTACTTTTAGCACCTGAGAAAGACAAATAAACATGTGGCTCTTTAGTACAGTAAGAACCTTGATATGCAATCAAGAGAAAAAAATTCTGGAAGTCTTTCTCTTAGTCATCATATTACTTAACTTAACTTAAAGGACAGAGCATCCATTATAATCTTTTTTCTTTCTTTTGCTCCTTCCTCTTTTGCTTAGTGCTCCTGTAGAGTGAGAATTTACTCTTCAAGTTGTACTGTTTTTCTGATCTCTTGCTGTCTACAATTATGTCATATTCTTTCCCATGCAGAAGTAATCATCAAATGATTAATTGATTTATTTTTTTATTGATTTATAAGATTGAGTGTTTAGGGCATATAGTGTAATTACTGAATATCTGATTAGTAAAATCAGTGATTTAGTGAATTTAATTGACCAGTGTGTTTAGTAATTACTGTAATAAATTAGGCTGTTTGTTGCTTAGCAAAATTATTTGATTAGAGTGATTTGAATAACCAATTGACTTATTGATTGATTTTTAGTAATAAGTAACCTTACTTTTGATTTGTTCTCTAACATATCAATTAACATTTATTAATTACCAACATTCATTAAGTAACTGTCTACCTATCACATTAACTAGCTATTGTAATTGATTACTCTACTATTGCCATTGACCATGCCAGCCAAAAACTCCAAACCAAAACAAAAGAAAAATATCTCTCCCAATGACCTCCCAGACTCCTGCACATGTTTCAGATGTCTTGAAACCATAAATAAAAGCGAAATTTACATCAAATGCCACCTATGCAATAATCTAGCCCACCCAGAAACGCAAACAAAAGCCTAGCTGATATGGTTAAAAATTCAGATACATTATTTTATCTATGTCCATCATGTTCTCCTAAGCTAAACAAACTGAGTACCCTACCTGACAGAGTTGAAAGCATAGAATCACTCATTCACTCAATAGAAGAATGCTTAGCAACACATTTTGAAACAACTATACAAGCAAGCCTAATCTCTCTTGAAAAAAAAAATACAGCACAGATAAGAGAGTACCTATCAGCTCAAAATCAAATCTCACAACAACCACCTCAACTACAATCACAACTACAACCAAAAATAACCACCAGACCACAGCCACAAACAATTACTGTCCCTTCAAATAATTCCACAAATAATATATCCTTACTTATCAGAGACACCATGGAATGTGAACAGAAACGTCCAAATGCCATCTTATTTGGTCTCAAAGACACCAACGAATCAGACAACATCACCAAAGTTCGTGATATCATAAGCAACTCAAATACAACAAATATGTCTCCTGAGGATATCATTGAAATAACCAGAGATGGCCCTGGGTGCAAATACACGGCTCTGTGGCCCCAAGATTTTGTAGAGTTGTATGCAAAAATGAGTCCAGCAAACGCATATTCATTCATACAATAAATGCCACTGCAAAAACCAATCCCAACCACAAAAAACTTCGCTCAAGACCAGACTTATCCATACTGCAAAGAATCCGCTCCCGTGAACTCCGTGAATTCAAAAACCGTCTAAAAAGGACCTATACATTGACTACAGAGCTGACTGCATCAAAAGAAAGTCACACAACCCACAACTCCGCATCCAACCCCACCCCATCCAATCCAACATCAATCAAAACTAGGCACGCACGCCCCTAACTACCTCTATTCCAACCACAACGGGCCTTAAATGCAAGCTACTCAATGCAAAAAGCCTTGTAAATAAAATACCTGAATTTCTCCTCTTACTAAATACGGCTAAATTTGACATTATATTTGTCTGTGAAACATGGCTCAATGCATCTCTCCCTGACTCCATTACCACAGTAAGAGACTATCATGTTTACCAATCAGATTGTGAAATCTGTAGAGGAGGTGGTGTTGCTATCTTCTATAAAAAGTCCCTACATCTAAAAAACATCCCAGTTACCAGGAGCTTGCTATTCCTGAAACCATCATCTGTGAACTGTCCTTAAATATCACATTTCGGTTCTTACTATGTTACAGAGCCCCTCATTATGACATCGAACATGCAAACAAGCTAAATATACTACTAACACGGGCAGCATCCTGCTCACACGCTTTTATCTTTCTTGGTGACGTCAATTTACCTCATATTAACTGGACCCTAAATGAATGTACAACTGAACCCATACATGCAACCTTATACAATGCAGTAACAAATCTGGGACTAGAACAACTAGTAATCAACAACACTAGACTTAACAACTGCCTAGTTCTCATCTTCTGCAATAGTTTGAATTCAATTTACAGAATACAAATTAAAGAACCCTTTTCCAACAGTGACCACAACATGATTGACTTTTGTCTCAACATACATCCACACAAAAATCATCACAATGACGGAATCCCCAATTATAACTTTAAAAAAGGCAACTATGATCTTATAAACAACAATCTCTCATCCCTTCATTGGCAATTTCTATTTACTGGATGCAATACTATAGAAGACCATTACAACATATTTTTACTTGAAGTCAAAAGAGTCATCAAACTATATGTACCATTAACAACTCCCAAAACCAGAAAAAAAAAAACAAATTACCCATAACAATAAGGAAGCTTCAATCCAAAAAGAATTCACTTTGGTGGAAAAACAAATCTGGTCACGTTGCCAACTTCAAAAGCCGATACAACAATTTATGCCACCAGATAAAAACTGAATGCACCAATTATCACATTAAACAAGAAGAAAACCTCCTACGCACCAATTCTACACACGCTTTCTACAATTTTGTAAACAACAAACTAAAAGACTCAAGGTCCATCCCACCCCTGAAAGGACCTAATGGTAAAGACTGCAACGACGACCCTATTAAAGCCAACCTCTTTAACACATTCTTTGGCTCAGTATTTGTAAACAGCGATGGATTATGCCCAGTATTTCTTAGTCGAACCACAGACAACTACAATGATCTAATACATATCGATTTTACAGAAGACAATGTTGAAAAAGCACTACTCAATCTAAAACCATCTCTATCTATTGGACTGGATGAAATATGTGCCTACTTCTTAAAAAAGCTATCCACTGCCATAGCAGAACCTCTAAGCATAATCTTTGAAAAAACTTTCAGGACCAGCTCCTTGCCAAAACTATGGTCACAAGCCACGATCATCCCCATCTTCAAAAAGGGAGACCCCAGCCTAGTTGAAAATTACAGACCAATCTCTTTATGCTGCGTCACCTGTAAAGTCATGGAATCAATTATTAACCAATCCATCATCCTTCACTCAAGAAACAAACAACCTACTCTCTAATAAACAATTTGGTTTCAGGAAAAAACTATCATGTAATCTGCAACTCTTACACTGCAAAAACATATGGATTACACAACTCGATCAGGGCAAAGCAATAGACACAGTCTCCATAGACTTCTATAAAGCCTTTGATTCAGTGGTACACAACAAACTACTCCTAAAACTAAAATCTTACTGTATCTCTGGACACCTGCATAACTGGATAGAAGCATTCCTGTCAAACAGACAACAAATGGTCAAAATTGGGAGCGTCCTATCAAATTCTGTACCTGTCAACAGTGGTGTCCCCCCAAGACAGTGTTCTAGGACCAACTCTTTTCATACTCTACATAAATGACCTCTGTGATCATATCAAGAGCAACTGCTTTCTCTTCGCTGATGATGTAAAGCTATTCAACACCACAGACAATACTGCTACCCTTCAAAAAGACCTTGACTATGTATCCAAATGGTCAAACAAATGGTCAAACTTCAAATCTCAACAAATAAATGCTCTGTCCTACATATTGGAAAAAAAATCAGAAAATAAAATACAGGCTGAATAGTCAAGATCTTGTTGATGATCCAAACTCTGTCAAGGATCTTGGAGTACTCATCTGTAATGAGTACAGAGCCCACTGTAACTACATAGCCAAAAAGGCATAAAGAGTTGTTAACCTAATCTTACATAGCTTTTTCTCTGGTAATATTACACTACTAACTAGAGCATACAAAACATTTGCTAGACCAGTACTTGAATAGAGCTCATCAGTCTGGAACCCACATTACTTATCTGATATTAACACAGTTGAGAAAGTCCAGAAATATTTCACAAGAAGAGTTTTCCACTCCTCTACTCATTGCAGAATACCTTATGCCACCAGACTTGAAATTCTAGACCTAGAAAACCTAGAACTACGCCGCCTTTGGTCCGATCTAAGTACTGTATATAAAATAATACACTGCAATGTCCTACCTGTCAATGAATACTTCAGCTTCAACCATAACAATACAAGAGCAAACAATAGATACAAACTCAAGGTTAATCGCACCAAATTTGATTGCAGGAAAAATGACTTCAGCAACAGAGTGGTCAATGTCTGGAATACTCTACCTGACTCTGTGGTTTCTTCCCCAAAAACTTTAACCTTAGACTGTCTACTATTGACCTCACCTCTTTCCTAAGAGGTCTGTAGGGGGTGTGCGTAAGCGCACCAACGTGCCTACTGTCCCTGTCCTATTGTTTCTTTTATTTTTTTTTATTTTTCTTATATGTATCCATGTATTCATAACTATGTTTTTACTTATACCTATTATCTTGTAAGCAATTGACAAAAATAAATAAATAAATAAATAAAATAAAATTAGCTAAGATCTTCCTCTCACACACTTTCCTTAGCTCCTTAAAAATTCAAAAGTAGATACAGTTTTATATGACCTCATTGAGGCTGCTACTGCTACCAAAGTCTATTGACTTTGATAGAATGCTAAAATACCTAGTTCCTTGATGAAGTTAGGATTTCATAAGGCAGTAAGCTTGCTTCTTCTTTTTCTAGTGCTGCTCACTTTACTATATTTATTTTGAAATACTCTTGCCATACAGTCTCTGTTTCACAAGGAGATATCTTTATTTTCGCACACCATGAAGCAATCAGCCCAAGTAATGAAATAAGGCTGGGATAGCCATAAATTTATACGTAGGCTTAAGGTGCAAATCCTGTAGGCTGAGTGCACAGCTGCTAAACCAAAACCAATTAAAAATTGCCAGACTGTTAAAAACAAGAGAATATGTAAAGTTCAGGGTTGAACTATGGAGTCCTTGGTGGTCTCTGAGCTTGGTTGTTTTCCTATTATCTGAACCTAGATGTTCTGTAGCCATTTTTAACATATACTGTAGTGCCTTGAATAGAAATAGGTGTATACTCACCAAGTGTTGATCCACTAAATGTGGATTCCATAGTATAACTGTTTAATATTCCCATTCTCCACATCACAACTCGTCCAGTTCCTTCTTTACACTTCTGAACTTGAAATTTACAGCTGTTGAAACAAAACTGAACATCCAAATTGTCCAAATTAGAATTATTACATTATTAGAGATATTTATTAAAGCATTATTGGATCAAGCCAAATAAATAACTAACACTCAATAGTTCATTAGATGTATTTAAAAATGGCACAAGTCAGAATATAAAGTTTATTTAATGGAGGAAAATTTTTGCTATTGTAATCAGATTCTTTTAAAAAAAATCTTTTTTCCAATAATGAAAAGAAGTCTGAATAAAACAGTATCTGTGAAATTTAGAAAATTTATACTGAATTAATGAATGTACTGCATTAGAATCTGCATATAGAATACATCCAGGCCCACCTTATCAGGAATATTCTTGCTCATCATAAGAGGAAAGATTCGCTCATGAAGTAACTGATTTTGTGCATATTTGTTGTTACAGCCATACATGAAGATATTGTTCTTTCGACTATGCCCATGGATATCGCAATAGAGCAGAACTTCACGTTCCTCAAGTACTCTTTCAGAGAAGCGAAACAAGACACAGATAAAGAGAGATCCAAGGAAACCTCTGAATGTCTGATTTCATAAAGATAAACATGTAAACAACCATATTATATTGTTTCCCCCCCACTTGTATGGCAGTATCACAGCCCTTAAAAATCATGGGTATATTAGATCATTTTACCTGCTTCTTGAAAAATATGTATGGTATCCAGGAAGCAACAGTTAAAACAGAAGAATGTAGGCCAGTTATACGGTTCTAAATTGGGAATGTTCCAAGATTGTATATTCTTAGCTTATTTATTTAGCCATATGCAATGAAATTTCATTTTAATGTATGCCGATTAGTGCACATTCAAAATGACAATAAAGTTATCCTAAGTCGGTATCATAAGAAATGCTAAAATTACTGCTATCAATATCTTGTTGATACCACTTTAATGGCACAAGTGGCCTTAATTATCTTACTGAAGATAAAAGAAGAGAATGCAAAAGCTGGTCTTGCTATTAAGATTATGTCAATAAACAATGCCATTCCAATGTGATAATAGGAGAGAAGTTGTTTATGACATAACATAATTTTTCTAGGCTCAGATAAAAAATGCTAACTGAAACTATGAAAAAAAAGATGTCTACTACTGGGAGAAATATGCTAAATCTAACAGAATATTAATATAAAGAGACAACTGCTAACTAATTTGCCTATTGTTAAGGCTATGCTTTTTTCCCATTGTAATATATGGCTGTGAAAGTGGGTCCATTAGAAAAGCTGAAGAAAAATTGATGTTTTGGAATTGTGATGCTGGAGAAATTATTGAAACAAACATGGAGTAAAAAAAAGAACAAATAATTCAATATTAGATGTAGTAAAATCAGTTTGCTCACTGATAGCTCTAATAACGAAGCTAAAGCTTAAACATTTGGGATAGTATGATGAGAATGCAAGAAGAACTTGGTAATCCCAATGCATGAAAAAAATCAAAAAGCATACAAAAAAAAGTCTGGCAGAAGAAAAGATAGCAAGTTTACAATCATTACAATACAAGCATGAACTTACAAAACTGAAAGAAGTATTCACTGAGAAATCTTGGCAAAATGGTGTTTATCAGGACATGAGGTTAGAAATGAAGAATAATTGAATACATCAATGCACATAGCATATATGAATGATTGAAGGATGTTGTCCCTGACTATTAACTAATATAGTATTTCCAGAGATACTTAATGTGCATGCACTTTTCTGTATTTTCTGTTTATATTATACCCTCCTACATTTTGCAGAACATATATTGTATAAGCCAGATAGATAGCACTGGCATAGTTGAGAATCTGGTGTCAACATCCAAGATTATAGTGATATCATCATATAAGATAACCTTGGGAAATTGTTCCAAAGTGAAATACTGTGGGCAGTTTTCTATATACCCCTAACACTTTCTCAATCCCATCCCATCATATTTCAACATATTGCATATATTTTCCCACTTATGAATGATTTCTTTTCCTTTTCCCAATAGCCTGCCTCCTACATGCAAACTAAGTCTGATATTTGTTTTATTTCAATTTTTTTCCAGGAACTTTTTTAGGTATATATACATATGTTCACACAGTGTATATGTATGTGTTTATTTACTTATTCAATAAATTTGTATAGCTGCTTAACTCACATGCAGTGATTCTGCATATATATGGGGGGGAGGGGGGCAGAGAGAGTTCTTAATATACGCTGCCGTTAGAAATTTCATATAAATCTCTGTCACTTACTTCTTGATCATGGCCCGAGTATACCAAATGCAGGGGAAGGATTCCTTTAGTTCTGTCCTATAGTTTCTGTTCAAGTCTCTTCCTGCCAACGAACAGCGATAGTTCCCTACAATAACTCCATCTGGGTTCAGCATGGGCACAACTTTGAATATGAAGAGATCTCGAAGGAGATGAGCATCAGGAGCATCACTCACGATAAAATCTAAAAAACCTCTCATCACCCATGAACTATTTGTTTCCCCAGGATGGACTCTGGCACTCAGTATAATAGCCTTTTTTGCTGCTGCAGCAATGGCACCTTTGGATGGATTGGTAATAGTGAGAAGGTATACTATGTTTCCAGCTAGACTGCTGCACAGAGGGCGGAGCTTGCAATACTGAGAATAGAGTGGATTAGCTACCAAAGTCAAAAGATAATTTTGTAGGTCCGAATAGGTATAAGGATAGAATTGAGCAAAATAACATGTGTCATAGCTGTTAGGAAAACACACTGTCCATGTGAGGCAATAGAGGGTTTGGCCTTCTTCTGTGTTGTATTTATAATACTTGATATCATTACCCATCCGCCTCCATCCAATACCCTGAGACTCAGCATCCTTCTGAGAATACATAAGAGGCTTCATCCCCATATTGTAGAGGCTTTTGGCTTTCATTAGATTAACAATTGTGAAGCGGTACGTGACATCCTTTCTAGTATTTTGTACTCTGAAGTAGTACCACTGGGTGTGTTTGCTGGTATAAAGATCCGTCCTCAAAGTGAGTTCATATTCATATTCGCCTCTGAAATGAAACAGGGAGAAGAACAAAGATGCATTAAAAGCAGATGATCACAATGTGGGCTCTTGGAAACTGGCATGTGCTTATGACAGTTGCACTGTCCCAGAGTCATGTGCTCACCACCTGTAACCTTCCTAGTTGGCTTCTGACAAGCTACAGTACATTTGCTTAACAGCTGCACTATTCAGTGGTTTGCTTAACAATTGTGGCAAAAAAGGTTATAAAAATGTGGCAAACCCACCTTAAGAACTGCCTTGCTGAGCCACAGAAATGTTGGGCTCAATTGTAGTCATAAGTCGAGGACCACCTGTATAGCAATTTACATTAAACTGATGACAAAATAACATTCATCTGAAATATGAGGCATCTCTTACAAGCACTTGACTTGTAATAAATCTTAGCACTGTGAATGTTCATGCAATAGCATAATAAATGTCTGTCAACTGATCACCCTAGCCTTTCATTTTAAAAAAATGTTCTCCTTTTCTGGTCCCAGACAGTTTCCTGCCTGGTATGATTCCCAACCCTTCTTACTCACACCCTGACTGCTTTCTGGAGATTCCCACTTTCAAAGCGTGATTCAAATAACAGTACGGTATCTTCTGGATCTTTTAAGCTGACAGCAGCTGACTTGATAGGTTGCCTTGACCCTCCAACTCTTGAAACGATAAAATAGGTACCTGTGGTTGCTGCAGAAGAAGAGGAATGCCTGTCAACAAGGCATCATAGATTTTGGTCTCAGAAACTAGAAGTGTGTACTAACTCTGCAAAATCCGTTGTTAAAATTACTGACAAATGTGAATCTCCATGAATAAATAGCAATTAAAATTGACTACAGATAAATAATTTGATTTCAGTTGTTTCTTTCTAAAAACTGGGGAAAATTAAAAACATTGTACAGTGCTTCTCTAACTTTCCTCAATGGTGAGTAAGAACTAAATTAGATAGTACATACAAAGCAATATGTGTAACAATCCTCAATGTGAGAGAGGTTATAACAGAGCAGCAAAATACTTAAAAAGATTCATAACTCTGCCTTCAACAAACGTTTTTATTATAGTTTTCTACCTTATGCCTTTTTTGAAATAAGTACTTAGGCATCTTTGGTAAAGAACCTGAGAAAGGGCAGGTCTACGTCTCACTCAACCCATTTTTTTCTTTCTCCCTGTGGTCTATTATCTACACTACTTTCTTTCTCTTCTGTAAACAAGGCATAGATTATATATGCTCCCAATTTAATGTAGGGTTTATATAGTTGATTTTTTACAGGTTAACGAAGTCTTGTATATGTCAAAAAACAATTTAATAATTAATAAAAAAAATTATAATAGATTACACCGAACTACCAAGCAGTTAGTCTAATGTTTGCAGGTGTATATATACCCTCAGATGTACGTGGATGATTTCAAAATTTAAGATATTTTCAACCTTTATAGTAGATAGCCTGCACTGTTCTTAGCCACTGACTCCCTATAATAAGGCACCTTTTTAGCAATGTACTATCACTTCATGTATACCAATACCTGGTTCTATGTAATAGACAATGGTTCCAGAACTCTCTCCAACTATTTCTGGTGCAAATTCATTTCCAGTTGGCTGATAAAAAGGTTCCGGTTCAGGAGGAACCCATTCTAATAAAGAAGCAAATAATGGCACATACTTATTTTACTGTGATTTTGAATTCCTAATTTAAAAATTAAATATTTCCTATTTATTCTGGTTGACTCCTTCTTTCAATTTGAGTTTTCCCTCAGTTCCATTCCAAAGACACTTCACAGTATGATATGCCAGCATTCAGAACACATTTATATAATTGCCATAGCCAATTGCTGCCTCCATGTGCTCCATTTTCGACCTTCACATCCTGTTTTCAGCCTCCACATGCCCTATTTTCGGCCTCCGTGTGCCCCATTTTCGGCCTGTTCTGGGTGTCGGGGATTGGAATGGGTGGAATATGGGGTGCGTGGAGGCCAAAAACGGGGAACACGGAGGCCAAAAATGGGGTACAGAGACCGAAAAATGGGATGCACAGAGGTGGAAATAGGCAATGGCAATCCCTACAGCCTGAAACAGCTGATTGTCGGGAGACCAATCCAACTGACAATCAGCTGCTTGTGTTAATCAGGCTGTGCTGAAGCTGAAACAGGCTATTTGCTGCCAGGAGGCAAATTGCTAGGAGGCAGAGGCCAAAGGTTGGGGGCTGGTGAGTGGGCGAGGCTTCAGCAGCATTCACTGTATAAGGCGCACAGACATTTCCACCCACTTTTGGGGGTGAAAAAAGTGAATCTCATACTCGGAAAAATATGGTATTTGGATTTTTAAAAACCATTTTTCATTAAAAGTTTTTGACTTAGCAGTCATAGAAAAAGTGGACCTGTTCTCTTATGCATTTAGTTACAAACAGAAAACACTTTCTCACACAGCACATTATTAAATTGTGAAATTCATTACTCAAGACATAATAATCAATTCCCATGTCCTCCTTTTCTCTTAAATGTATAGGGTTATTTCTAGAATGATTTGCAGTCATATGACCAACATTTTCTTTGTACAGTAAATACATTACATTACAACGAATGCATTATTACTAATATAAGATTCAGATTACCAGTGTGATAGATATGATCCTCAATTACTTCACACTCGATTGGCCAGAGTGGGGTCAATTTTGAATTTCTACCTCTAGGAAGAGAAAAAAGATTTCGAGGTTCCCGTAAGCGCAAGATACTAGGGCTTTCTAGTTGATCAAGCATGCGCTGTTTATTTTTAAGAAGTGCAGTTTCCATCATTAGTGAACCTGTCAAAGAAAAAAACATATACAATATGCTACTACTTTCTTTCCAGATTTTATTTCATTTTCAATATTTAATTCATAAGAAGTTAATAATTCAGTTTACTTACAGAGTAGGGTCTTGTCTGATTCATGTTCTTTTCTATCTTTTTTGCAGAAGTTGCCTGCTGTCAATAAATGGCATGAGCTCTCCCAGCTTTCAAAAGGAAAACTAAGCTTATGAGGGAAATTTTCCTCATCTAAGAAGTAAAATTTTGTAATATTATTTTGTGGAGTTATTTATAATTAATCTTATAATTACAAGCAAATACATTGAGAAATTATGCTGTATTACCAAGACCATATTTATATGCCAGGCTCTTGGGAACAGTTGCCAATGTGTAACTGCAACTGTCTGCAGATTCCACATTGACTTGCCCTCATACATCTACCTATCAGAACAGGGAGGCAAGGAATGTTACAGGTCCCATCCCTAGGGAGATAAACATGGTGGGACCCAGAAGAAGGGCCTTCTCTGTAATGGCTCCCTCTCTCTGGAACATCATTCTCCCAGATATTAGAATGGCCCCCACTCTAACACTCTTCCAGAATGTGCTGAAGACCTGGTTTTGTCAGTGGGCCTTGGGAACGCAGAGCGGGATGGTGAGTCTATTAAATGGACTGTGTGATTTATTAATTTATGTGATTATCCTCTTTTATTAATGTTATCATTTTATATATGAGGTTTATATATTTTTGTAAGCTGCCTTGAGTCACCATATGCAAATAGGCAGCAATATAAATTTCCTAAAATAAATAAAAATAAATATTTCTCTAATCTATTCTGGAGGATTTGGAAATCCCAGATTCCCAGAAGTCTGTTTGTTTCAGGTAGGTGATCTGAAGTCCAATATCATCTCCCGTATTTCTCATAAAATAAGGCCAGATCTTTTTTTTTTTGAGCCCCCCCCAAAATGGCTAGGACGTCTTTTTGGGGGTGACTTAATTTCCTCCCGCACGTGCACCCCCACCTAGAGCGCCCCACGGGCACTCACCTCTCCACAAGGCTGTTTCTATCGGCCGATGGAAGCTCCCCGAAGGCAGAGTCACCAGCCGCTTCAGGGCAAGGCATGGCTGCCCACGGGGCACTCCTGACAGGAGCGCCCCACGCACACTCCCCCTTGCCACTAAGCCGTTTCTACTGGCCAATAGAAGCAGCTGATGACTCTGCTTTTGGGGAGCTTCTATCAGCCGATAGAAATGGCTTCATGGTGAGGGGAGTGCGCGTGGGCGCTCGCCCCGAGGCTGCTTCTACCGGCCAATAGAAGCGGCTGGTGACTCTGCCTTTGGGGAACTTCCATCGGCCAGTGTTCTATTGGTAGTAGATGGGGGTATTCTAGCCTAGACTACCTGCAGGGCGCTCCTAAAGGCAAGTTTTCTCCCCCACTTCCCCTCATTTCTCTTCACCTTGTGTAGTTTTAACGAACGATGTGAGAAATGGTGGGGAAACACATGGATTAAATAAGCCTAAATTAGGGGGCAGGGCATAATTTCACCTCATGCCTAGAAATCATGCTAGGCCTTCCTATTGGTGGAGGTCATATTGTTGGAGAAACATGGTATATGATAGCAAGCTGCCAATCCTTTAAATTAGTATACTATACATAGGACCAGTTTTAACTTCTGTCTAATCTGATGTGCGTTATCAACTTCAAGAGTTGGCAATTTTTTCAGCTGAAGGCTGCAATAAAAAAACAACAACCCAATGTTGGCTTTCAAGTCCCAAAAGTGCTTTTCAAAAGGCAATTGGACTTCCTTTGTTTTTTCCTTGAAGATTGTCCAGCTGCCTTTTGGAAAGCACCTTTAGGACAACTATGACCTGGATGATTGAGAATCTCCATCAACAGCTGGCCTCCAATGATCACTGAAGATCTGCTAATGTGGTGCTGTCACAGTAAGTAAGGATGAACATTTCTGAACTATTTTTTGTTTTTTGAAATTGAGGATTGAGACCGAAATGGAGGTTTAATCATGAATTTCAATCTTTGTTTTAGAAAAACTGCAAGAACTTTTGATATCAAATATCAACTAGACTTTTTAAAATTTCACTGGTATCATCCTAGTCAAGGGAGAATGAAAAGTCCATTATGCTTCCTATGTCCCTAAACACCATGGAGGAAGGATTATCTGTTTCAGATAGTTAGGACTGAGACAGAAATAAAAGAACAGTGTCTTATATTGTGTAGTATCTGTGTGTTCCTATAAGTCAGTCTTGACTCCTGGCAACTGCTTGGACAAGTCCAGGCAGTTTTCTCCACAACATTTTCAGAAGTGTTTTGCCAGTGTCTTCTCCCTCAAGCTGAAAGCCAGAAATTCATATAAAAACCAGACTAGAACTCAGCAAATCCAGTGCCTTTAACCACTAAGTGTTAATTTTTCAATATTTCCTCATTTTATTACAACAGTTCTTTTGACTAAAATACATTTTTTGCATATTAGAACCTATTTCCTAAAGTATTATCCACCTATCCACAAGCTGGAAGAAAACTACAATAGCACAAAATTTGTTGTGCCCATTGCTGATCTCTGTCTTGCCTCTACCCTGTCTCCAATTACTGTGTTGACCTCTCTCCATGGTAATACATGGCAAAGCTTATTAGATTTTATGTACCTTGAAGCTGTCCTTGGATGGTATCAGAATAAAGGAAAAATCACTATTTTAACATTAGCACACTAAGGACAATTTAAGCTTGTCTCATCTAGGGACTGTGGACATTGGACAAGGGCAAGCTGATTTTTAGCTATGATATGTTCCTTTTACTGCTACCTTACATTTTCATTTGCTGTCAATTCTCAGAAACTGTAGAGGTTCCACGGTTCACAAAAAGGAAGTTCAGAAATTGCAATTTCAAGCCTCATGTTATCCATCATTGTGATAGGAAATCTAAGTCTAAACATGCTTTATGTGAGCTGGTCTCCATAGAGAATTATATGAATGAAGCAATTATTGCATGCTAAGTAACAGTAAGCACTAAGGATTTTGTAATGTTCAAATAATAAAAACAAGCAGTGAAAAGTAATCCCTAGCTAGTCCTTTGATAAAGGCAGTATCTTTTGCTATAGAATGTTACAGACGCAATAAAAACGGAAACATCAAATTGAGAACAGACACCTTACCTTTGAAATAACCATAGTACTGGAGATGGTGATATATAAACTGTTCATATGGATCTTTAAACTGCTGTGGAAATAATTAGATTTCTGATCATTCTAAAAGCCAGTGTGACAGTGAATTATGTATCTCAGAGTTGGCTACAGAAGTTTGTGCTGAGTGTTACAAAGGAGCAGAAATTAAGCAAACCTATATTATATGTGGAAAGAGGAAGGGCAAGCGAGCATTTGGGATGCCTGTTGGTGAGGCTGGGAGCTACTGGTAATTGGCAAGGGAGACCAAAATGCGGAGCAGGGGTGGTTTTCCTTGTGGTCTGCAACTTACTTGGTTCCCCCTTCCTCTGGCAAAGTGCAGACTGTGAGCCAGCCAAGGCAACTGTCAGCTGAGGATCATGGGAGGAGGTGAAAGAGTGCAAACCTACATTATATGGGGATGGAAGAATGTCTCAAAAGGTCACAGGTTGTCCAGTATAGTATTAAAACTCTAGTGTCTGCAACCTTTAACTGGGTGAAACAGTGCATTGTAAGGCAACAATTTTTGAACCAAGATACCTCAAATGAGCTACGTTACAGAAAGTGTCCAAAATCTGGAACCTCTGACTCCAATGGAACTGAAATTTTGCAAATTTTATGAAGTATTTATGACATAAAATATTATAAAACACTTTTGACATAAACAATATATCATAAAAAATTCCTGTGCTCAACTTCTGCTGTTTGACTTTGCTATACAGTTCAACCTGAGCTACTTTCAAGGCAGATGCATCTCAAAATATCTCCCTGAATTTTTATTAATTTTTCAATATTAGAAGCTCTGTCATTGTTGAAGGGATTGAGGAATCTGATAAGGAAATAGCAGCAAAATGAGGATCTAATGGATTACGAATTGTGTAATTTCTCCTAAAAACCTAAAAGATTGCCCCCCTCTCCCAGATAACCTAGTTTTCGCTTTACCCACCCATCCAACAACAACCACTCTCAGAAATTAAAAATGAGAGACTTTAAGCCTAGTTTCTTAAAACATATGAACTCAATTTTGTACTAACCTGAATCTCAGGGTCTAGTGAACACATGTTGAATGCAGTTATGTTATCTGATGACACCTAAAGAGAATAGGAGGGGAGGGGGGGAAGATACCTGAAAATTTAGAACTTGTTTTTTTCTTTCTTTGTATTTTTGCTTAAAAGGAATGACTGAATAATTTGCAAATCTGTCACTGTACTACAAATTTATAACAAGCATAAGGTGATGTGGAGTTGTGAAAATGACAGGACTAAGCAAAGCACAAAGGATGAAGGAGAGTAGGGGAAGGAGGAGGAAGGGCAGAAGAAGGAGGAGGAGAAGCCAGAACGAGCGTTTATCTTAAAAAGACTTTTAAAAACAATGTTTGCTGCCAAGATCCAGACACCATTGCCTCTGTGACCATACGGATTCTCACAACCACACACGCTCCTTCCGGGGATCGAGGGCTTGTGTGTGCGCCCTGCAAAGCCCCACCAGAGCGGGAGTCTCTCCTGCTTTAGTTAGCCTTAACGTACAACAACGTCGCAAGTATCTCAGGAGTGAGGAAGCAGTGTTCCGCCGGTCCTTCGGGTAACCACCGCAAGGCTTTGCTCCATTCAGTGTAACGCAGGCCCGCCTCTCCCGGCCTTCGAGCATCTCCGACAATGACACCCACGGCCTTTCTCTCTCGTTCCCCTCATTCCCTCTGGAAGAAAACTTGGTATCCTAGCGACCAGTCACGCCAAGCCGCCCTGGTGGGGAGGGGAGCATGGGCGGGGCGGGAAGGCGGTTGTTCATTGGTCGGCCGAGGCGGTCTGGCGGCCACGCCTTCAAGGCCGCCGTGGCTTTTTCAAAACTGACAACGGAGCGGTTTGAGTTTTCTTGGGCTCATTGGTGTTGCCGTCTAGTAGGGCTGCGGAGTTTAGTTTCAGGGGTGCTTGCGGGTCTGTATTAAACCTTATTCTTTCTCCGGCCAGATTTTATTCATTCAATTCGCTATTTCGCCTGAAAGGAGAATTATTGATATCAGTCGGCACATTTTTCATGTTGATAGGGATATTGTGATGGGGTAGGTGT